ATATAATTCAATCTGTTCGATTCTATAGTCGTGAAGGCATCGACTAAGAACTACTGGAATAATTTTCCGGACATAACAACCGTAGACACTTCTCCATATCTCTCCAAAATTCGATAAGCATAAAATTCCCTCATGCTCACGGTTTTCTTTTTCCGTCCAGCAGTATCTACAAAACCTATGTCAATCCCTAACCGGTAGCCGTCCTCTCCATATGGAAACAACAAAGGATATTGTAAAGGTAAATATGTCGGATGCAGCTCGCTTATTCTTTGTAAATTGCCTGAACGACCTTCTATAATAATGTCACGCTTATTCTCACCGCAGTTAAAATCACCAGGAATCAAAGCAGCAACCTAATTGCAAGTAGGTAGATTATGAGTCCTCGCATCAGAAGCTCTATCCGAAGGCAAACGTAATTTTAAATCTTCCACACCGTAATCCATATTGAACCTCTCTCTTGCCGACCTAAAAGCCCGGACGTGCGGATTATGATTATCAAGCATCTTCTTGATTAGCTCTACAGTCGAGGGCCTCAAATTTTCTATCGATGCAGATCTCCTATAAAAACACCAAAAATGTGAATTATTTATTTTGGAAAATAAAATTAAAACATTACATAAGAGAAAACAAAAATGTAATTATTACCCGTATGCATTTATTCTATTAGAAACCTCATTTTGTATATCATGAATATATAGCTGTAAGAACATAGGTGTTTTTCCCGGTTCTGGCAAAATATCACCAATACGGTGATAATTTTCTCCACACATTTGAAACAGATAGGGTCCAGCACCATCATTAACAGAATGGTTAGCCTTGCCTCCTAAAGATGTGAACAAAAAATCATATTGTATGCTCTTATATTATCACGGAAATTGATGCTACTATCATCGTGATTATAGAACAACGATGACAACGTATTCGGTGGAGGTTTGAGAAGAGGGAGTTTAACTTTTCCATGATGACAACACATTGAAAAAACAGGCTTTCCTTTTTTTATTTTTTTATTCACACGTTCTCCAAACCACATATAGGCTCCACAATTCTCACATGTATAAAAAGGATCGCCATCATCGTAATATCCTGCGCAAAATTTAATACGTAAGAGCTGCTAAATTTCCTTTATTTTAATATATGATATACATACTACCATTATTAGTATTAGTGATAGTAATCGAATAAAAAACTAAAGTGGAAACTAAACAAACCGTTCTCTTGTAACCCAGCTCTAACAGCCGTAAATCCGCCGATTACATTAGACGTTGTACTATCATCACCATGTTCGGTATCAGACTCGTCAGTAGACATATCATTTTCGCTTCCTCTATTTGACTCTGAATCAGCAGCAATAAAACATACAAAATCTTCTTGTAACCCAGGTAGTAGCAAAGTTTCTACACAATGAATAATAATTGGTTAGCATGTTGATGAGAAGCTGTTTTACTCATTAAGAGTTTAATTAATAAAAGTTAATGTTACCTTGGTTACCCTTTTCCGTTCTTCTTGATTTCAAAACATGCATTCTATTCATCCTGTCGATTTGACATACGTTTTTGTGTGTCATGTCTTTGAATTGGTGATGTATAGATGTAGGTATAGAGACATCTGCTATAGATTTAAATTAAAAACTTCGTAATTATGTCTAGAATCAAGACCTGAATCATAAAGATTAGAAATTTGGAATTAATCGTTCTAGAATATTAATTTTTTAAAAGATTTAAGAGATTTAGTTACTCTCTCTAGTCGAACCATGAGATGCATCTTTCTTTCATTATAGAGACATCTTCTATAGATTTAAAAACTGGGTAACTATTTCTAGAATTAAGACCTGATTTGTAAATATTAGAAATTTAAAAGTCAGCGTGGTTTAATTTTAATTTTTGTATAGGTTTCAAAGATTGATTAACTATTTTTAAACATACCATGAGCTGCATCTTTCTTTCTCCGATATGGAAGCTTGGAAGGTTTCATTGTGTTTCTCTAAACGTAACGACCTACAAAAAAATCAAAAAATACAGTTAATCATTGTCCTAACATGAAATTACGTCTATAATATCATCTTTACTTGATGTTCAACTCAAAGAACTGAACGATAGGTTTAAGTAAATTTTGTATCTAATATATAAACTCATGGTGAAGAGATTTCGTGATTATCAAATTAAGAATCATATTAATCTTATAATTAATTCAATTATATTTATTAGCGAATTTGTATATTTCCATTTAGTTTAATATATATTATTGTTGACATTTTCAATATCCTTTAAATTAGAAATTTGCTTATCTATAGTTTTGCATATATTTTTGTATTAGGGATACATCTTACTTGTATTGTCACACCAAACAGTTTCCTATAACTTTTGAAATTTTAGACATAATATTCATTATTGGGATATTTCCAATATCTCACTTTTATTGTCACACCAAACAGTTTCCTATATTTTACTTGTATTGTCACACGAAACAGTTTCAAATAATCAAATATTTAAATATACTTGGATAATTTTTAATTAATTTCATTATTGAATAATAATTTCTTTATAATACTATTATAATATTTCAATATAACTTATAATATAGAACATAGTATTTCAAATTACCACTTATTATGATATAGTTTGAGCAAAAAATTAAAAATAATTAAATCAACATTAAAGATTAGCATGTTTTTGATAATCCAAAATAACAATCCAAAACAATAAACCACAATATTAGACCATCGCATCTTTGAAGATAATCCAAAATAATAAAACCAATCTTAAGCTAGTTTCTCAGTTTTGATTTTTTTCCTTGTAATCATATTATGACTTTTCGCAGAGTCGCCACTCTTTCGGGAAGTTGTCTTCTTCGACGGTGATGAAGCCGATTCAACTGAAGAACTCTCATCATTTCCATCTGTTATTTCTAGAACTTGAGGGTTGACATCGGCATTTGCATAACACTCCTAAAAATGTAAGAATCATGAATATATTTCAGAATAAATTTCCCGTTATCACAGAATAGCTAATATTAATATTCGTAACATTGTACCTTTACAAATTGTACGACCATATCTTCTTTTTCCCAAAACTTTTCAACAACATATGCCGCTTTTGAACTCTTCAAATTGTCATTTGTGATCGAAACCTTAAACAACATAGTTTTTCCAATAAACGAAGAAATAGCGTTTGGAATAATTGAAGGATCATCCTGAAGCATATGAATTTATTGGTTAAATACCGTTTATTAAATTTATCAAGAATATGAATGTTAAAAATTTTTACCTCAGCTATCTTTGCAACCAATTCATCAGCCTTCTTTCCAATGAGAAGTTGAGCCAAACCGTCAAAGAAAAGTAGCCTAATATGTGGCGAACTTCCATATGAGACATGTAAGACCAATTTAAACCTAATGTTATAAAAAAACAAAAAAATCAGAACTCAATGGTCTTCGCCACATTTTCATAGGTGTATCAATTTTAAAGAACAAACTAATGAGTGACTCGTACTTGCAATCCGCATCTGTAACGTCTTTGTCGCAAACACCACAACTGTATAATCGTTCTTTTCCGACTTGAGAATCTAGTGGGTATGGTTGAACTTTTTTATTACAAACTTTGCAAGCAAGGTAGTAACATTTAGGCAATGTCTCTACGGAGATAATTTTTGCGATTGTAACACATGTACGCACCTGAATATAAGCAAACGTATAATTTTTTTTTGGTAAATAGCAAACGTATAATCATTAAATACATCATTTTTTCTATAGCATGTAATTTAAAAATACCTCTAGTGCATAAAGAATGTCGTCTATTGTCATCTTTTCATTGAGTACGAAGAACTCTTCATATAGTGTAACTTTCGGTTGTTCATTTTTGGGTTCAGAATTAATCTTGACAAAATCGACGACGTCTGATGGCAACCTTTGAAAAATCAAAACGCACTAATACGGACATGTTTAACCATCATACGTAATTAATTTATACGAAAGTACTTACATTTTAGTAAACTTCTCCACTTCTAGAATATTTGGATTGAACAAAACATCTGTTGAACCGAAAGAGTTGGATATGCTATAAACCCCTGAAATTTGAAAATCATATAATACATAACCGTAATAAAACCTGAAAGCAATATCTTATATTCAATGAACAGTTACCTCTCCACTCCTTAATGCATGCAAATCTAATAACGCATACGACGACAGATTCATCGTGTTCTTTTATTGAACCTTCAAAATTCCTAGCAACATCACCCCAAAGCGTGCAATTTAACTTTGTACCCCTATTTATTAAAGGGAGAATTACTTAGATAGACCATAAAAGTAGGTTTATTCCTTAAACATCCACATTTTTTTTTATTCGTTATATGTTTAGTAAAATGGGTGTAATTACAATAAACACCCTTGGTCTGTTTTCACTTAAAAATTGCCACGTCAGATTCGACATGCCATGTCATACCTGAAATTGCCACATCATTATTCTGTCTTTCATGATAAAAGAGGAAGAAACTGAACATTTTCGTCACTATTCACAAACAAAAAAAACTGTTTTTTCTCTCTCGAAGCCAACGAAGAACCCTAACTCTCGCCGCTTTTATTTTTCGTTTCTTCCGGCCGCTTATCCTATTATCAGTGTGTCTCTCTCTTTCTCGTCGTTATTGTTGTCGCATTTCTTCTCAACTTGTATGGAGACTTTTCGTTTTCTGACAAAAATAACAAGGAAATACGAAACGTCGTTTACGGCTGAGTTATGGTACATTACGGCTGAGTTATGACACATTGCGGCTGAGTTATGGTACATTACGGCTGAGTTATATTATGACTTATTGTAAGTTACGGCTGAGTTGTGGTTTTTTTTGTAATTTTTCACACACATGAAAAAATATTTCTACCTCGGCGATTCCGGCGAAGAACCCTAATTCTCGCCGCTTTTCTCTCTCTCATCTCTTTTGGCCGCTTCGATTCTCAACGAGTCTCTCTCTTCCGGCATTCGTATCACATTTCTTCTCAAATTGCGTACATCCAATGTTCTAAGAAAAGAAAAGAGTTTTTGGTCCTCACATGTGGTTTTGTTCATGGTGAGAGTTCTTTGAAGATGACAATAATGAAGACGAAGAGAGTGAACGGTAAACCTATGGCACTAACTCGTAATCTCATTACTGTCTTGTTATTTTGCCACGATATCGAAATCTCATATCCCATTCTTGGGTTTTGTTTCATTTGTTGCAAAAAAAGTGTATGTCAGATCGAAATAGGCCAAGGAAAAGGCAGAAGACTAAAAAGAATAAGAAAAAAAACTGTTCTTTCTCTCTCGAAGCCGACGAAGAACCCTAACTCTCGCCGCTTATCTTTCTCGTCTCTTCTGGTCGCTTATCCTATAATCGGTGTGTCTCTCTCTTTCTTGTCCTCATTGCTGTCGCATTTCTTCTCAACTTGGGTGGAGACTTTTCGTTTTCCGACAAAAAAACAGGGAAATACGAAACGTCGTTTACGGTTGAGTTATGACACATTGCGGCAGAGTTATGGTACATTACGGCTGAGTTATATTATGACTTATTGTAAGTTACGGCTGAGTTGTGGTTTTTTTTGTAATTGTTCACGTACAGGAAAAAATATCTCTACCTCGGCGATTCCGGCGAA